CAAGAGAAGAGCAACAAGACAACTCAGAGTTATTTATTACATGGACATTTGTGTTTTATTTGTTTTCAAAATTAAAGTGTTAATAAATTATAAAACCTGTATATTTGAATTTTGTATATAAATGTGTAACCACCTCCCCTTTCAGTGAAAGCAGTACCACCAAACCAGGTCTGCGCCCACATAAAACCAGTGAGAATCCCATATTAAATAAATTGTTCGTGACCCGACCACAACCACACTACCAGATTTTGGCCAGGTCCGACAATACACTATATCAATAAGGAGTTATCTTTATGTTAGTATAGTCCCTTAAAACACTTATTTTATTTTCTCTTCATCTATGATTTACTTTGCGCTTTTCACTGAACATCTGGGATCTTTTTAGTTATTTACTAGTATGTTTTTCAGATTTGTCCTTTCTTTTGCATTTTTTGGGATCATTGTTTTTAGATCATCTACATTTTATTTTGGAGAAGTAACAAATTGGTTCAATTTCTTTACAAAGAGCCACTCTTAGTCTCCACTTCCCAATTGCTTCAATTCCCAATTGTACTCCACAGAGTAGCAAACAACAGAAAATGAATGGATAATGATAGCTGCGTCCCAATGAACAAAATGTGATTACCTAAATCGAGGTTTCATCACTTTCATTAATCTAAAATGAATTAGAAATTATCTTTCTATTTTCAAATTTTTTCCATGTGCATGTAATAAAAGTTGGTTATGTCTTAGGCCCTAAGGATCTGAAACCTGCTGGTCAAAATGGAATTACGGACCAGTTGCAATGTTATTCTCCTATACCCAGTGAAAAAATCAACTGGTCTGTATCAAAAATAACATGATAATGACCAGCGGACCGGCCCTTAGGGCCTACATTGTACAGTCATTCCACATATAAGCAGACATTCGTGTCGCCAAGGGTTATTTCTCAACCGTTAGTAGATATATAGAATTTTTTAAAGAACATCTACTTAGGACCAATACCCACTTGTACAACCAAAAAACAGCAAATTTTAATTGTTTGGTGGTAAGTGAGAATCTTTTCTAACTTAATTTGATGACAAATTCCTCAGGTACGTTATGTCGCCAGAGTGCATAGTGATGTTTTATAAGCATAACTGAAGTAGTTATAGATTTCTGAACACATCCAAACTTCATGAAATGATACCTGTGGGTATATACTGTATTTTACCAACGTTTCAAGTAATTTAATCCTTTCCAACCTAATAATCAGATGCCTGGAACCCATGTCGCCAGTTTTTTTCTAAAATACCACTTTAGATATTTCAATTTCTAGAGAATGCACGAATCACTTAAATGTTTAACCCAAAGTGATATTTTATCAGAAAATGATTTATCAAAATGCATGCAAAGTTTCAAAACTGTATTCTATCCAGAACAAAAGTTATAGGTCATAAAGGTGTCATTTTTCAATTCAAAAGATAAGGATTTTAAGGTACGTTACAACATTTCCCAACATTTTGTAATAGCTTGATGGATTTAGTAAGTAAATTCTTGAATATGACAAGGCGGACATTAAATATAATGTGCTCATTACCTTTGTTCGCTCTGTTATATTGCTTTATTGGAACATGTAATGAGTTTTCCTCATGTACGTTGCAATAAGGTACGTTACGGAAAGTGCGAAATAAGTTGATTAACTCAGCAATAAATGCTGCTAACCCAGTGGAGGAGATCATCACGCGATCTCATGATACACCAGACTTTATTTGAAGTCAAATTAAATGGGATTTCCTAAAAATCCCTAAATAATACAGCAATCGCGTAAGTACAACACCTGTATCTTTTGCCTAAGCAAAGCTGGTTAATCAAAGATCTAGGATATCCCGATTCGGTTGAAAGATATTCTAAATAAACAACTTAATTGATCATTGTTAAAACATGATGTCAACTTTTTTCCCAAATCACATACGACTTGAGTTTTATATCAATTAAGCTACGTTGCTTTTGATAACGTCGCTTAATACTTGTTTTATTTCCGTCTTAATAGTGGTAACTAACCCGGGAATTCACAATTTGTTGCTGAATATGGCCAAGACTAAACAAGAAATTCAAATGAATTAAAGAAAAAGAAAGAAAAGAATCGAGGGACAAAAATACCTTGAAAAGGAACGTATCAGAAGAAGGCTGTCAAGTTCAATTGGTTAAGTTCCGAAAGATGCGCAGTCAAAAAGAATGAGCTTGAACTTCGTGACAAAGTCAAACCTTTGAAAGGGACATTCAAGCTACATGCAATTTCTGGGATCGGGAACAACATTGTCATGATGAGCGATGTCAGCTGTTATTGCAAACGCTGTTTAAACGGAGACTTTTGTGACAAGTGGACTGGAGCAAAACTCACTAATACAAAGTCTAAAAATCAATCCAGCTCAGAGAAAAGTGATGTAAACAATAATGCACAAGTAAACAACGAAATATCAGCAATGAGATATATCAACGATGAGTTTTGTGCTGCGTTATATGATAGAAATTGGTAAATTGGAAAGATTGTGGACAGAGATGAGGAGGACGGAGAATATGAAATAATTTTCATGGAGAAAAAAGGCAGTTATTCCAATGACCCAAGAAAACAGATCTAATAGACTACATGCGAGTAGAAATAATCTTGAATTACGTCATTAATATTCAAAATTCAGTCAAAGCGATGTCATATTTGAAATCTGCATGTAAATGTACATCTAGAAATATGGTTTCGAAAATTGTCTATCAACTTTGAAAACTTAATTTTTTTGAAAATGTGACCTCTTGTTCGGGTTGATTCCTCATAGACCCCATGTTAGAAAATCACAAAAAGTGAATTATCTTTTCTTGTATTGGACAGATAACATTTTCTTTTACTGGACATATTTTAATTTGCATAGCTATTAGATACATAAAGGTTATATGAAAATTGAACCACGCAAATAGATGTAATTTAAGTTAAAGGGAACTTTCTACTATACCCGCCATGCTATCTGACCCGAACGAGCCACCTGGTGGTGAATCTGGTAACTACCTACTCGCATCTGCGTTATTTGGGTTAAGGAAAATGATATTTTGTGCAAAATTTCAGACCCACTTGCAACTGGGAAGCACGCACGAATGATGAAAATCGCCGCCAGTGACATGCAATTGATCTTGCAAAAGTGGAGCTCCTCTAGTGAAAGACTTATTCCAGTGAAGTAAACATTTGACATTTGTAAAGGAACGAAATGTCTTAGATTTATGCGACGTTCTCTTTCATTTGCCTCTGCTATGAAGCATTTTATGTTTTGTTGTTTTGTTGTTTAAGAAGTTGTTATTGTTTGTAGTTGGTCATATCACGAGTTTATATTCTTAACAAATAAGTAAATGATATTGATCGAGTTAAAATGTTTTGATAATGATATTAAGATACGTTATTATTTTGTAATTTTGTAATTTTGTATCTCTATTAAAAGATATAAAATGGTTTATGGTGACAATACAATGGACAGGAGCTTGTGTTTTAAGACTTCGGATAGATATACGAGAAAGATTCGGTTGATTAACAATTGCGTCAATTTTTACTTTAAGCGACGTTGTTTTGCACTGACAAGTTTAACTTATTTCTGATTATTACTAGATGTCTTTGCCACATACAAATATATGATGATTTGAAAGCGAAATCCCATAGTTTCATTGTATGCCCAAAATAACTTTTCACATGTTGTGTTAAACATCATGAGAATACATGACAGTGTTGCAATTTGTAAAACAATTTTTTTGAGAAGCGACTGCATTTATGCATTACAACGTAAATTTGTGTTATTTCTTGATTAAAATGATTAGTGATTTCCCAAATGCAATTTATAGTTTTGTTTCTTAGTGATCTATAGAATAGAGATTACAAGAGGAAGACATCGCATATCAAGTTAGCTAAAATCCCCTTAGAATAAAACAGGTATCGAGAACGAATCTTAAACTATACGCTTTTTATAATTTAACACCTCTTATTTTCAAATTAGTGTAACTTTTGATATATAAAAGTTAAAATGCCAAAACTTGGGGATTTTATAGAGGATACATAAAACAAAATCAAAAACTGAAAATGAATGCAATGAAACGAAGTTCATTTTTCAAAAGTTTGGAACCTTAAATGTCTCCTTATATGTGGAATGACCGTGTAATGTGCTGGGAGGTTTAGGCTACAGGGTTTATACCGAGGGAAATATGTGGGGGACCGTATTGGCATCATTGGTTTCAAGGCATTGTACTTCTGCCTTAGTTTCAAAGGCAATACATTCTTTTTGAAGGGTGTCTTGAGATTCCAAAATTAAGAAATAATTGTACATATTTGAGAAATTGATTTTAAAGTTTTATAAATTGAATTTTCTTTATTTTTTAAATAATATTCTTTGGTGTTGAAGATTTTTTTACAAAGCAAAACATTATTTTTCATTCTAGATACAATAACATGCATATTGGCATACTTTGTTTTAATATAAGATTGTTATAACTCAAAGTTTTGCAAGTCACATGACCAATTCTTAGAGAGTTGATTGGTTGAAACAGTTGATATCAGATATGACAATTTGAAATTAGAAATAAGCTGTTATTCCAGTGGGAAATTGTATCAACTCCATTTCCACCGTTTTAAAAAAGGATTTTGTAAATTGTTTCAAGGTATGATATTTCATATAAGATATCTCTAGGGTAAGACAAGGTGACATTCAAAAAATCAAGTTTCACATAGCGATACTAAGTAAGATACAGACCTCTAAACTTTCAAACCTTGATTTCTCAGTTCCGTAAAAATGTGAGGTAGTACAAAGTTATTCTCATGCGACGACATAGAATAAATATATAAGAGCTAAACGCTGACAAGGCCAAATCCCCTTTTCTGTTACTACAGAGTAATATGCAGAGAGCTCGGTTCGCCAAATGGAGTGGTACATACGTCAAACACAGAGAAGATAACAGTGGGACGAAAAAGCCAACCAGTGCCGATTGTAAAATGCAGAGGAAATGAAGCATCAATCATGAACTGTGTCGTGATTATATCAATGAGCGTAAACCCCTCTGATTCAGATGCTCAAGTTGAGTGTAATACAGGTAAAATTCTGTTATGTTCCTATGTTGAATGCAATATATGCTAGATTTTATGAACTTTCAGTTTCTTGATTGTTATAAAGATTTTGAGATTTTAGAGATTCTGCATTGAATTCGATAAAATGATATTCGGTAAGGAATTTCTATATTAAATGCAATAAGGTGAGCGTTTGTGATGTATTATTATGTTAGCCCATATTTCACCCCTATACATCCAATAGTGAACCTTTGAAACACCGCGTACCTCCGATGTTTTAGGGTTAATTTATGATAATAAGGGTTGTCTGCAGTATAGTAATTTAACTGTGTTGGGCACAAAGTTGGTCCGTCCGTCAACATTGGCCGCAAAAATGAAAACTGCTATTCGGATTGAGTCATATCCACATTCATTTTATGCATATCCATCATGCCTATTTGACCTATCATCGCCATTTCCCAAGTTCGCCCGGTTTCCGAGAAATTGCTGATTTTGACGTCAAAAAGTCAAATTTTCTGTAAATACTAGACACTTTGTTGAAGTAGAACTTTCTAATAACTTGTAGTAGTTGCTGTATATGCAACTTATGTTCCCTGAAGATTCCAAAGCTCTTGAAACTACAGTTTTTGGTGTTAACTTTATAAAATTTGACAAAAAGTAGAACTTCGTCATTTTCAGGGAACTTTCTCATGTACAAAGTCAATCATCATTGACTGCACTAAACACTGTGTGAGCACAGGACCGTGGGTCCTTTTTTACATTGTGTATATCTTGAAAAGTAACAATGATTGCAATCCTAATAGTAATTATCCTGCCCAAACCATGTTTCGGGGTTAATGAATAATATATAAAAAGAATAAGATAGTATTAGTGACCGTTATTGAAATACTGAATTTCTTCCATATCTCAAAAAGAAGGAATGAAAGTATCACGATTATTGTTCAACAACACATGGTTTCGGGGTCAAAAAATAAGATAAATTACAACTCATTATATATTGTGCATATTTTATATCGAGCTTCCAGTAAACGGAAAGTATTGATCAATTGGTGGTTTCCATAGTAATTTAAGTGAGTTGCCACAATAACTAGCTAGTTACTTTGGAGGAAAATCATATATGCAAATAGTGTTGTTATTTATATTGAAATGTTGAATTTTTCCATATCTTAAAAAAGTACAATATGACAGTATCACGATCTTTGTGCCCTAGAAACCCATGTTTTCAGTGTCAATGAATTAGATGGTGTTATTAACTTATCATATATTGTGTATACATGTATATGCAAATTCGGCATAATTAAATCAAGTCTTTGAATATCTGGTTATAGCCAAATGTGTTTGAAGAAGTCTACATAACCCAACATTGTTTGTATCTTTTCTAGATTCTCATATGAATTTACAATGAAGATATCAGCGTTTTGTATGATGAAACCAAAAATGCGTCATCACCAATAGTGACAAATTAAAGACATTTCTTGATTAATGCAGTTGTTTGATATGTAGAAAAAATGATATAACCAGAAACAGATCCCTGGTGTACACCCTGAGTTAATAATAAAGCATGGTTGAATAAGACACTATGTTGGTGGTCAGTCGTATAGCTATTAAAACATGTTACCGCCAGTTGATTCCATAGTTTATTAAATAAAACGTTATCATCAGCTGGGTCAAACGCCAAAAAAGTATTTCAAAAAATGTTAATGGTTGAAAAATACGGATCGAAACCAGTCATAACTTTTTCCCGATGATCTTGTATTTTAAGATTCATAATTTTTTGGCCCCATTTACTCAACATGGGATGGCGATTTTTAGATTTTTTAGATCGGAATTTGATTTGCAGATTCACATTACTGAAAAAAATCTACACCTTTTTCATAACTCGCACGTTAAAGGAGAACATTTTTACCTACTTTCCGGACACCATATCTTAAAATTGAATCAAAGAACTAACTGACGGAAAGGGGCATCCAACTCTTGGCTTTGGCTATCAGTATTCCGAATTTCGAAGAATATCATTGAAGTGAAGTGTCTCAAAAATTAAAACAAATATAAAATTTTGAAAACTTGACCTAATTTGCCACGATGCCAGGTAAATATATCCTTCAAGTTGTTAGTCATGAAAGATGATTAAACCCTTAAAGGGTTTCGATAAGCTTCCCGTATAAAACAATATGGCGGCTCCAGGTGAGTCAACTGGATCAGTTCTTTTTTAAGAAATAAGGGGAGTTTTGTAAAATCCAGTTAATTGAAATTGTTGTGGAGATAAAGTAATCTGTTTATATAGTGATTCTGAAAACATTATTCAGAGAGTGATTGTTCAAAGAATGCATGTACAGCAGCCAATAAAAATTCTTGTATTGGATCTGCTTTGTTTCATTTGGAGGATATTTCATATCAATTGATAAGTGAAACTAGTTAAACTGACTGGAGGTCCAAAGAGAACTCTGTTATCTTGGTTCAAAAAATGTTCAAAATCCAGCATGGTTTTGACATTTTTTGTTTTGTCATTTCCTGTTAACTTCCATAGCACCTTAAGTGTAGCCTCATTTTTATTAGTATAAATGAACATTTAACACAATGATATTGTGTTAAATCGCTTTTGTCAACTTTGCATCGCGGAGAAATGGTTTCGATGGATCCAGAACTTGCAGCAAAGGAAATAAATAGTAAGGAGGTTAAACTCAATAACGGGCCAAGAACATTCCTAATAGTAAAGAACGCCGTTATTGATTTTAACGAATTTGAACTATGATAAATAATGCATACATAGTTACCTATGCAAAACTGAAGCCAGAATGAAGAAAGCTTCTCTGGATGCAAAGTTATTGCAAAATCTTTAGAGAATGTAAAAAAACAAAACATTTAATGGTTCAGTTGGTTGAGGAGGAAATTGAGAAAGAGGACACGTTGAAAGAAAAAGCAATAGACTCCAGATTTTCAATCTGGAGAGTAATAACGTTTAATGCCTTTTAACTTTCCAATGCCTCTAAATATATTTAGCTTTTGAATTAAATACGCATTTGAGTTTAATAGAGGCAAGATTTCCTGGCTTAGAAATGGGAGATCATGTCAGGAGACATTCTTATGTTGATTGTTAATAATGGTAGTAATGTAGTTTTAAATAGCTGTTTAGAGTTATTCCCATTTCCAATGCAATAAAGGCGAGCTTTTCTGAGGAACTTGTATCCCCGTATCTGGTATTCCGATGTTCAATGCACTGACGATGAGCTTTTATGTGGTGTATTGCCATGTTCAATGCACTGACGATGAGCTTCTATGTGGTGTATTGCCATGTTCAATGCACTGACGATGAGCTTCTATGTGGTGTATTGCCATTAAGAGCTGGCTTAAGTTTATAGATAAGCAATAATAACGATAAAATATTTCATCAAATAGTTTCATTGAAAGCACACACTCATATTCACAAAAGTGCCTTTGGTACTCATATTCACAAATTTAGTGCCTTTGGTACCAGTATTCTGTCATTGTCCATGGTTTTATTTTAAAACTCTTTCTTCATACTGTAGATACCATTGTTGATGGAACTATGGCCTTACATCTTAAAACACGGAACAAGAATGATGGAGAGGCTTCAAGGAATGAGGGATTTCTTGAAATATACAAGAACTATGAATGGAAGCGTGTATGTGTCAGTGAATGGAACATTTTATTAACCCAGGTGTGTTTAGTTTAATGTTCTTTGTTATAATTCACAAGCATCTTTGAAACATATAATCAAATCTCATATTGAACGCTGCATATGTTGAAATGAAATGCATGCATGGATTACGGAAATGAAACACACAATTCTACATTTTAGATTGCATGTAAACAAATGGGCTACTCGCACGGAGCTTATGAAAATGATGGTGTCTTCAAATTGTGGGATGCAAGCGAAAAAATATTCTACAACGACTTCAAATATCATGGTGTTTTGCGAAGCGCTGTGAATTGCAATGACAATGACATTGCTATATCGTCATGCTTGAATGACGCAGACAAAAGCTGTTTCTTCAACCATGTATATATGAAATGCTACGAAGGTTTGTAGTTCAGGTTAAACAACATAAAATCGAGTCATTTAGGTGAAAGCAAGAAGTGCATATTGTGAGTGGGGATATGCAGTCAGTAAAATGGCACATTGGTTGGAGACTTCAGAAAAGAATCCCATGTTGTTACGCGGTATTTGCCATACATTTATGGTTGCGCGGTATTTGTGATACAAGTGAATATGGCATACTCAACTGCGGTATCTGACATATTCCGCGAGTGAGTATGGCATATTCCGCATTGAAATGTGATATAGTGAATACCTCATATACCTGCGGAATGTGGCATTTACCACGCGATGAACGCCATACAAAATTACCTTGATTTGATTGGTTTAGAGAAGCAACACTAAATGTAAAACTATAATGGATCGCCATTGTTTTTATCGCTTCAAGCACTAAACTATGAATCCTGGAATGATTGAGTAAGTTTATTACGTATGATGGTACTTTTGAAAGTATCAGTAGCGTATAAACCGTGATCAAATACTCGTGTTTTTCAGGTTTTTTCTGGTTGTAAAAGTCACTCATAATCTTCACGAACGTAGGTTCGTTTATTCATGTGTAATAATGTTTTCCTGGAAGTATGTTTTTGCGTGTAACACATATATAAAACAACATCAAACAATACAGGTGCCACTGATGTATGTTGTTCAATTGTATTAGTTCATATATTCAATGCACTGACCAGCTGCTCCCAATGTCTTCAAGAAAAAACAGATCGAATTTATGCTCAATCATCACCCTTACTTCAAAGCACAATGTCTTATGTACACACCAGGAAAAATAATTAAAATCGGTACATTGAATTTTTTATCATGGTTTTATCTCCTCCACCATGTTCATTCTATGCCATATTCGTTGCGGGATATGACATATATCTGTATCGTGTTTACCACGTAACATATGTGACCATTATAACGAAATACCCTTTATCCTATGCCAAGTAGAGTTTTAGGGAGATAAGTTGGTAAGATATATCCCGTATCCTGATTTTGAGGTGTCCATATCCTGAACCTCCATATCTCCCGCCATATCTCCCGCTCCAAGGCATATCTTCCCGCTTCGAAAAAAAAATTGAAAAAATAAGAAAAAATTGAAAAAAATAGAAAAAAGAAAAAAATAGAAAAATAGACAAATTAGAAAAAATTAGAAAAATGTGAAAAAAATTGAAAAAAGAAAAAATAATTCGAAAAAATTGAAAGAAAATTTGAAAACTCTACTTGGTATAGGATAAAGCAGTTATGTACGGTCGGTTTGGATATGGGGTTCATCCCTCGTGAGATATGCACATCTACCTTCGGTCCCTACGGTCTCTCAGGTAGATATGCATATCTCCCTCTGGATAAACCCCATATCCAAAACCTCACAGTACATAACCCTTATTTATCTCATTAACGGGCAGTATCCACGCTTAGGGCAACATACCCATTGTGATCGGGAGAGGCTTATCTAGCTCGCTGTTAAAATATTACTATGGGCTGTATTTTGAGATAAATAAATTTACCACCCGTTCAATCTGTCTCATATTAAAAACAAATGAAAAATATTCTGTCATAAAAATTCTCCTTAAATCACCCCGATGTCATTAAAAAGGTTATCGTTCACTTATCTTGGAAATATCTTCAGATAGGTCGATAACTGTCCTTTAAAGGAATATTCCTTGCCAGACCCTTTCTCTCTTGATATGGTAGCTATAATCATATATATAGTTTCCATATTTAGCAAAACATGGGAAAATGTTTTAATATGGTCAATATTGATCATTTAAAAATCTAGTGCTTATTTCCAGTGAGCTGCCATCTTTTAAGATTTCTTGCAGGAAGTGATGTCATCAACTCTCAACTTCTATAACCTTGCCCATAACAGTATAGGAAAGTAGCACAAAATCACTTCTAGACAAGTGATCATTACTTTCTGTGCAAAAATATTTTCAGGGCTTGTCAACTTAGAATAAAAGAAGAGATTTTCAGAAGGATTAAATAAGATACAAAGTTGAAAAAGAATATTTAGCTGGTTTTGTAATTCTTAATAGCTCCTCACCTAATGCTATATGCAAAGTTGAGAGTCGATGACATCACTTCCTGTGTGAAATTTTAAAAGATGGCAGCTTACTGGAATTGAGCATCACATTTCTAAGTGATCAAATTTGACCATATCAAAACATTTTTGTGTGTTTTGCTAAACATGGCAAGCATATATATGGTTATAGCTACCATATAAGGAGAGAGATGGTTTGGCAAGGAATATTCCTTTAAAACTTATCCTCGTTGCATTCTCTAAATTCACTAAACGCAAAATGGTCTTGCAACTTGCAGGAACGAAGTAAATTCACTGTGGACCGTAGCTCATAACAACGCCATGTGCTCTCATACTCCTTTAGAATGAATATATAGCTCCTGCCATCTGATCTGACCATTATCATAGTTAACTGGAGTTGGGGGTACCCAGGGCAATTTTATTACGTCTAATCTGAACCCCAAAAAAATCATAAAAGCGCCTCTTTTTAAATCTTTAAGAAATTATACTTATTTATTGTTTAGATAATATGTTACCATAGTTACATTTTTTCTCGCAATTTTTTTATGTCACGGTATAAATTATGATGTGTTTATAGAAGCAAATACCAAAAGCCTCTCAAAAATGCTCCATCTCACACTGCTATTCTCACCATACAAGATTTACGATAATTGATATTTTCAAATATATTCTGTTATTCTACCAAAGCCTGCGCTATGTGTGTTCATATCAGCGACATTTAATGTGCGCTGTTTTAAAGTCAACACAACTGTTATCATGACCATGTGATATATACTGAAAATATTGCTTGATAATTCTTAAAAACAGCTTTAATGAGGATAATTGAGACAAAATCAAAGTTTGCTAATATAAACTGAGACAACAGCACAAATTAATAAAATCCCAAATTCTTGTATCATAAGGTGCATACTGTCAAACTAAGATTTAAAAAATAGAATGTGCTTGATAAGAAACGATCGCGTGTGAGTCACAAAATGTCGTTCTCCGATTAAAGTTAACGTCCGCAATGAAATGAATGAGGATCTGAAGTGTTTTTTGTCGAAAATGTGCATGGTATCAAGCGGGAAAGAACAATGTTTACTTTAATTTTAAAAAACATTGACGCGTTACGGGCATATGGCTAAGAATGACAGTACACTAATATATAGTTTCTAAAATTTTGATATCAATTGTTAAATCTCTATTCACAAAAAATCTGAATCTCCACTGGAGATTATATTAAATATAAGATATATTAAATTATGTTGCAAGATTTTGAACCACAACATTTTCCAACACAGTACCACGGTCCCCCTTTGCAGAAGGTGGAACCATACGAGGGGTGATCAATAAGTAATGGACGCTTTTTTACACAGATACTTTTTATAGACCAATCCCTTTGATTTTCCTACCAGTGATACATCATTCAATTATCTATCAATTCTGAAGATTTGAAGACAAAATATATAATACATGCTGATATATCCTCATTTCCGCGAAGGAGGTACAGGTACCCCGGGACCGACATTTACGTCACACATTCAGTTTTTAGCCAGTTCGACAGATTTCATTTAGATTTGAACTTTTTTATATGTAACAAGTGTTATGTTATTTGAAATATTTTGCTGACCAGTAACACATAAACAGTAAGTAGTATGAATCCAGAGTGTTGTATGGTCGGGGTTTGCGGGTCAATTTGAGAAAGCATTGTGGAACAAGGGCTTGGTGAGAGAAGGGAACACCCAATTCCATATGGATTATGCACCTGCCCACAGATCTCAAAATGTTCAGAAAACAATATCCCTGGACCTCGAAATTGAGCCCTTGGCCAATGCACCATATTGTCCAGAGCTGTCCACATGTGACTTATTTATTTCTATACTACTTATTTCTATAGAGAAAGGACGCAGGTTTATTGACTTGAAATAAAACAACCCGTGCAACTGCATCTTGCAACCATGTCAGAGAATGGATTTAGCCTTGTCTCCCAATGGGGCATTGTGTACATGTAGCACTAGAGGGAACCTATGTAGAGGTTCCTTTAGAATAAATGTGGCATGAATACTACATAGCGATGATAAAATATTCAAAATCAACTATGGCATAACAAAATGGGGGTAAAACATGACCATCATGGTGTGTTTTGTTCAGCCTGCATTCAACTGCGTTGCATGTTAAACAAGCCAAAAAGCTTCAGAATTTTTTGACGTCATGTCGGTCCCGGGGTACCTGTACCTCCTTCACGGAAATAAAGATATATCAAAATATATTATATGTTTTGCTTTCAAATCTTCAGAGTTGATAGATAATTGAATGATGTATCACTGGTAAGAAAATCGAATGGATTGGTCTATAAAAAGCATCTGTGTAAAAAAGCGTCCATTACTTATTGATCACCCCTCGTATTATGATGTAAAATACCTAAATATGATGTATTTTGTTATTTATCAGCATGGGACGTCACAAGTCAGTGGGACAACATCACAAGTGTATCACTTTCACCCTCTGCAGAATGTGAAAGTATTTTGAACGCTGGAAAAACTGAAATGGCAAATGACATTCCTTTGTCATGTCAGGTAAAATCAATTTGCTTCATCAGGTGAACCTTCTTCAGTGGGTTCATTTTTGTCCCTTCATCTAGTAAATTAAACACCTTTGGTATCCGTGACAACCGACAATTGACCGAGCGGCTGCTACAGCATAATCGGGGCGGTGTCATTTAAATTACCTACCCTACCTGTGATATAAACCAAAACAACCCAAGAAGGTGTGAACTAACGATTAACTTTCCTATTATCTCAAATTCTATACCATTGGATTACTATGGGAACTTCCACAGAGAAAATTCAAGGGATTAAGGAATGGGCACCATTTACACAATTGGAGAAATTATTGGCAATTTGGCATACGTGAAACCTATTTAAAACTGCATTTATATTATTCAAAAGCATTTGCAATCAATGATTCCCAGCCCTCTGAGGTGTGAAAAATATAGATAATGTTTGAAAATGAGAATTATTTTTGGGGATTATATGGTGCAATCTTTAAGTCAGAAAATGTTTTAAAGTGAATTGATGTTTTTTTTATGAAAAACACAAGCGGAATGCATGAAAAAACGCCCCCGATTCATTTTACAAACAACACGCAGTCCTTTTTTCAATTTTGGGATTTTCCGCCAGTTTGATTTGAAGGGGGAAAACAAAATGGCTGCCATTTGTGTGAGAAATATGAGAAAAAACTGCTTCACTTTTAATTTTCATACAGACCATATAGAGCACAGTTTTCAGTTTTGGATTTTTTGATTGAGTCTGACTGTTCATCATCTTGGTCATGTATAGAGATTATAAAATCGAAACATTAAAGCTGTGCTCAGCATGAATTTCGCAGAAATATAAACAACACCAACACAAATTGTAGTGTCAAAACTGGATGCTCAGTAACTTTGCGTGACTATAATCCCTTGATTACCAAAGCAAACACCAATTCCTTTATCAAGAAATGCCATTCTATCTCTATACAAAGAAAGTAAGCAATGTTTTGGAGGATATTTTTCAAACAATGTGTTTGTCAATGAATTATTCATTTAGTATTTGCCCTTGATATTTTTTCTGTGATGTCATTATTTTGTCTTAGATGTCAATATTCTTTATTAGTCGTGATAGTCTTGGGGCTCGCAGAAGAAGGATGCTAGGATGTTGAGATTAAATAATACGTGTGATTGAGTTGGTTTTTCAGAAATTACAATTTTCGATATATTCATAGTCGATACCCGAACTCATCCTTTGTTTGATTTGTTGGTTTCTTTTATAATGTCAGATACCAAGTGCGCCAGATTCCAATTTCAACAGATGTTCAATGAATAGAAATCTTTCTAGTTTCGGCCCACTCTGTAGCCATTAAATAACATTTAATTCATTGTCTTTCAGGGGCGTTGTGCCGAGGTTCCCTCCGTTAGATCTACGTGGTGTTACTGTGATTCAAAATGTGCTGACAACAATGACTGTTGCTATGACTACACTGACGCATGCTGGCATGACACACAAGACGATGGTAAAAATGACGGTCCTAAAGAAACTCGAGATAGAAATACTAGTGAAAGTCAAGATCCTAAACCAGCCGAAGAGAATGACCTAAGCCAGTATAAAGAATGTGTGGAAACCTATGAGAATTATGATCAACTAAGGCAGTATAAAATGATAGCAAGATGCCCGAGTTATACACAAGACCAAAACTTGGCTATGCTGTGTATCGATGCATCATTTTCATTTGATTTGTCGGGACACAAATTCAGTTCCATTGCGCGTCTACCTGTTTATATCAATGAAACAGGAGAAACGTTCAAGAATGTATATTGTGCGATTTGTCATGGGTTTGGGCTTGATGATGTTTTGGCATGGTCTTTAAGATATGACTGCTTGAATGTCGATGGTGTTGAACGTGCATTACAAAATAAACATATGCAGGACTTGAGATCTTTGATTCATCTAAACGGGTGTACTTTGAGGCCTGAAGGAGGTCGGCCGAGACCTATGCCATGTAAAGCAAATTGCCGATTTATCACAATTCCACCACGTGGAGTCAACTTGAGACAGTGTCACCATCATGTTGATGAATGTGATGTTAGGTATGTTCCGACCGCATATAGACAACAGCGTGATCTTTATATGTTATATGAATCGTGTTTGAAATATTCTGCACCAGTTATATTTCAGAAAGATCAAGTTGACAAGAGTCCAATCATCTACAAGAATATCCACTGCGCAGTGTGCAATGGTGCCGACCCCTACCGGTTGGGCTGCAAGGTGTCTAACATTACAAATGAGGGGTTTGAAGTAATTACAGTTATGGGTAATTTCGTCCAGAAACTGGTAAACGACAATCATTTTTTTGTTCTGGAATGGTATTACACCTTGGGGGATCTAGTTTTTTCATCCAATGTCTCTGATTTAAAGGCATGCGACGAGAACGATTTGCCTGAATCTGGACCAGCCCACAACTTCATTGATTCTCTTACTCTTGTTAATGCATATAGATGTACTTATATAGGCTGCTTAAATGAAAATTCAATGATAAATCGAACATGCAAGAGAGAATCACTCAAAGATGAATCTCTCGTGCAAGAAGATTCAGTTATAAGTATGAGTACAACTGTGGATGACTTGCCAAGAATCGTGGGAAGTAATAGTACAAGTGCTGAATTTCCCACGTCCGGTGTTGGGGCATCTCAGAGCACTATGGGCATGAGAGCAAACAGCCAAGCACATGTATATCATACATGTACATGCATTGAGCACGTGCTGTTATTGGCTCTTCTTAACCCACTCCTAATTTTCTTCTAAATAGCACTATCACACTGAAATAACCGTACAATGGCGATGTCAGCTTCCGTAGTCCAAAATGGCGGACAAATGATTGGATTCGATGTGCGTCCACTGTACGCTTAATAAAGCACGTAGGTTATATAACAATCGATGGAAGTGTATTTTACTAATCCTAAATTTGAAAATTGAAAATACAGGGTGGGTCAAAAAGGTAACCCAAACTTATCGTAATAACTCAGTTATCCAGTATGGGGTTAAAATCATATTTTGCATTTGAATCTTGTTTGATGTTCTTTTATTCTACTTTTATTCTAATGTTCTTGTATTGGTCTACTTTCAATGGTCACGATTTTATGGCTATTTTACATAACATGCTCCAAATGATAAAACATACATAAATCACCCAATATTAATATGAACACTCAAAATTTTATCTTTGGGATTATTTCAAAGATAATGGAGACATTAAGCTGGGATATAAAATCGAAACGCCAGCGTGTACGTATGAAATCGCCTGTAGTTTTCTTACATAAAGATCGTTCGGTTACTAGTTAGAGACCCATGCCTCTCTATCGTTTCAAAAAATGTACCTAACGTATCGGTCTCTGTTAATTTATGGCATCCATACTTTTCTGAAAGGTAACATATTGAGGTTCAATTTTCTGCCGGATGCCCTTGCAAACTCTCATTGGTTGCTCTGTATTGTAGCATTCCGTTACCATGGTTACGCATCTATAGACATCCTACCTTGGAATCTTAAATCATTTGTAGCTTTGTCATTATTTTGTCTATTGATATGATATTGGTATCAAATTAAACCTAAATAAATTTCACATATAATTAAAATATTCAATTATGCAAATTAGCTCATTTGCATAAATTGTGACGTCATAAATCTATTTTTCGTTCAGAATTCTCAAGTATAGCAATGTATCTTTAAGAACTGAAGCCGTACGATGGAATTTATTCAATGTTATGACTTTTATTCAATGAGCAGAAGGTTTAAGCAACATAAAAGTGAAAACTGATTCAAAATTGGATCAGAACTAACAAAGTTATTAAGCTTTCTGGGCAGCTACCATGAACGTTATCATTGAACAATTAACGTTAAACATCTTACCTTAGAATTGAAATGTTTGGTAGCTTTGTCATTATTTGGTCTATAGAGGAGATCTTGGTATCGAATTGATCCTAATTGAATAAACGGTATGGTAACGATATTCAATTATGCAAATTAGCTAATTTGCATAAATTATGATGTCATCAATCTATTTTGGGTTCAGAACTTCCAAGTATAGCAACAAATTTATTAGATCCGAGGTTGGATGGTGTAGTTTCTGCATAGTTTGTCATTTATTCTATGAGTGGAAGAGGTATGAGTAATATAAAAAAATATTCAAAATTGAATGAGTATTAGTAAAGTAATTCAGCTTTTGAGGCAGCTGCTATGAACGTTACTATTTGACAATCATAAATAAAACACTGAAATAACAAAAATGAAACATGATGATGAAAAAAATGAAAGCTGATTCAAGCTTATTGAGTGAAAAATATATATTTTACATGTCACTGAATTAGTTGGTGTATAGAAATTCATAATTTTGACTGTCATTGACAGGAGTCAAAACAGTTTTTTTGATTTTGTAACATGATTTATTGTTTGTGAGAAAGTTATGGATTAATCAGTACGTGAATGGGTGAATGGTATGGTGAAATCTGTTATGTAATCTATAAATCTTTGAAATGATTTGCTTCATAGGCGTCAATCTATTTAAAAATGCGAAACATCGTGACTGGTCAAACATCAATATTTGTGCTGCAATTCAAGCAGTGAACATCTACATGAATTTTTAAACTGATTTGCTTCATAGGCGTCAATCTATTTAAAAGGACGAAACATCATGACTGGTCAAACATTAATATTTGTGCTGCGATTCAAGCAGTAATCATCTACATAACCTGTTAATACAAATTTATGACATTATATCACAAAATGTATGTCATTGCTGTTTTTATGTCACCACCAAAAGCGGTGACATATTGTTCTCCATTTGTCTCCATTTTTGAGACGGCGTTTGACATCTGTTTGGCATCTGTAACAAATGGTAGGTTGTGACATTTTGCATGTTTATGCCTTGTTTGAATTATTTACAAAATGTTATAAAAATATCAAAATAATATATTTTTAAAAGCCTCATTCATTTTGAATTATTGCATTGAAGAGGATTCAAAGATTGACTTTTTGCATGCTGGTGACGTTGCGCCATTCTTACACCTAAAACCTAACCGATTTTACCATTGTATATGCTTTTTGAAGAAGGAAATCTTATTTGTTGAATTTTATAGCAGAAATCGACTCCCTTCACTCATTTTGTCAGATTACTGGCAGTGACATTAAAGAGACAATTTTATTATCTAGAGTGTCTCAAAAGATGAACCAAAGGTATATCAACAGCAAAGATAAATCAATCAATATTTTCAGATATTTTTGCATGGTCATTTAGGAAAAGCATGTAAGTTTTCTCTCCAATACTAATTTTTTAGTTCAGTCTTGCCTTTTTGATGCTTTAACCCTTTTTATACCATGTGTTTAATTTAACCTCCTTACATTTCGATAAAAGCCTGCATCCTTACTGCTACATTGTTTATCATATATGACAATGTTTCTGGTGGAATGTTTTGAATTTCCTTTCACATTTTGACCTCAAATTGTTCTATGTCTCTTGACTTTGGGATAAACATAAACATGGTTCTTGAAGTCATTCCAGAGAAAATGTTTGGGGTGTCAAATCTGTTGAATAGGGAGGCCCTCACACTGTCTTTATATAGAAAGAAGAAACTGCTTTCATGGGAATTTTTGTTTGGCCCTTGCTGTACATGGAGGGGCTCAAACTGTCTGGAACCACAGTGTCCTCATTTGGATATCATTCAGTCTCTGTAACTCTGGCAGATGGAACTCCATTATCAATTAACCGCTAAATCATTTGACGATAATTGAGCTGGTTCTCTGTGATTGTTCTGCCATCTTCAACCTTGGAACTTTTTTCTCTGGGGCTATTTGAAGGAGCATGTTAAGCTAATCCCAAGCCAAAAGACCTAGAACAACATAAAGCCAACACCCAAAGAGAAATTAAAAACGTTCCACCTGAAATATTATCAAATGTGATGAACAATGTAGCACAAGGATACAAGCTGTCATCGAAATATGAAGTAAAAAGTAAAGGGTTAAATCATCAAAATGCAAGACTGAGCTGAAAACTTTGTATTGGGAAGGAAACTTACATGCTTTAGCAACATGACCATGCAAAAATATCTACAAAATATCTATAAAATAAATATTGATTGGTTTAATCGTGGTGTTAATATACTTTTGGGTACATTTTTGAGACACCTTGTACTATTTATCATACCAAGCTATTATAGTTCATAAATAGCATTGTATTTTTATATTAAGTGTTTATGAAGCGAGGACTTTAACCCAAGAGTTCCTACATCCATGTGACATTTATTTCCATGTGACTAACATCACCTTTATAGTGTAACTTTGAACAAATTAACGTTTTATCACCATGTCATCCATGTGACATTGATATCCGTGTTAACATCACCTCTATGGCATTCATTCATGTTATAGCCATCTACATGTACGTATATGTAACATCAATATTCATGTAGCATTACCCATGTGAAGGACCCATATGGCAGTGGTTGAATTTTTCTTTTGTTAATCTATTTCAGTGGTGACTTTCATGACAGGGATGCTTTTTATTCTTAATGTTTCCATCATCTTTGTCACATCTCCATGTTCACCTCACCAGTGTGATTTGACTCCCAAATATCATCTGTGTGACATTAATCTCCTTGTTGACATCATCTATAGCTGTGACATTGATTCAGCTCCTCTGGCCACATCTTATTGTGATGACTTTTGCCCCAGCATCCAGGCCTACATGTACATCTGAGACTTTTTGATAAAATCCGTTATACAGGGCGTTTCAAAAAACGCAACGGGTAGTTATCTCGTAAAATCACAAAACTAGTGATGACTACATCAATTTCATTCAATGTACCATGAAGCAACGTCTCTCCTCTTTGCGATGATATGTCTTAATTCACATGTGGTAATGATGGGTGAAAAATCCTTCCATTTGCACAGTGGGTCAAAATCGGCTCTGGTCCAAGTTTTAGATTTTGCAAAATGCCAATGGGAGTTCCCCTGACTTGAAATGCTGTGACTTTTTCTTTTGGAGCTATCTCAGGAGCATCTGTGCTCACAATTCCTTCACCAGATATTGCGAAACCTCGAGAAAGAATTGCCCATAGGCTGATTTTCTCTGCTTTAACCCAAAGATGACTCGGGGCTGAACCATGCATGACGTGGACAAATGAGTGCATGTGCAAGGAAGTGGTGGCAATTTGGAGAGGTATAGGATGTATTCTTGCAGGAGTATGAGTATGAACACTTTACTGTCTATGCCACACCTGTCACACCTTCTTCCAATAGCCCCTATATCCCTTGTACTGACTTTTGCAATGTTTGAAACTTGAGTCCGAACTGAATTTTGCCCTACTTTGCAAAATAAATGATTATTCAGCCAGCCACGACTCCCTGTGAATGAATGATATTCCATTGCAAAGAGGAGTAATTTGGCTTTTCGGTACATTGAATGAAAAGGATACCGTCAGCATTTGTTTTATGTATTCTTCCAATATTGCATCGGGCTCCGTACGCTGACTTTTGCGATGTTTATAACTTGGCCCCAAGCTAATTTTGGCCCACTTTGCAAATGGAATGATAACCCGCCCAACCAGATATATCAATTATCATTGTAAAGAGGAGACACATGGCTTCATGGTGCATTGAATGAAATCAATGCTGTTATCACTGGTTTTGTGCTTTTCAAGGATAACAATCTGTTGCGTTTTTTTTTTTTGAAACGCACTGTATTGATTAGATCTTCATTAGATTAGATCATCTAAACTATAAAAAGTGTAAATTACAATAGTTAAGATTCAAC